AAACATATTAATATTGGAAGGGGGGGGGGATTGGAATAATAAATAGTATTCCAAATCTTAGAAAAGTTTATCTTACCCAGCATTTGCATCCACCAAAATATCCCCAGCTGTTGTTGCAGATCTGGATGCTGTTGCTACAGCTGTTGTTGATGTCTTAGCTGTCGAGAAAGATCTAGACGCTGTTGCAGACTTGGCAACAGTCGCTGTTGTTGTTACTGCTCTTGATATTGTTGAAGTTTTCGAGGATAATGAGGAGCTGTTAGTTTTGCTGCTCGAACTGGTTTCTGTTGTCTGATTAGAAGCAGATGAGCTGCTGACGCTGTTGTTTATTTTGTTGGCAGTTTCTGTACTCTGAGAAGAAGCTGCTGAGCTGTTTATTTTGCTGCTGGAACCGGTTTCCGTCACGTGGCTTGAAGAAGTTTTGTTGGAAACTGCTTCTGTTTTTGAAGACTGTGATACTGTTGATGTTTTTTTCTTTAAATCAACTGATGATGATGCTGTTGATGTCTTTTTAATTTCTGATCTACAATTTGATGTTTTTTCTGCTGAAATTCCAGCTGATGATGATGATGAGTTTGAATCAGAGGTTTGCTTTGCTGTAGCAGTAGCAGTATCCACGCTGCTCTCTTCCTTCATGGGAGCGACCATCTTGCCTGCAGCTGAGTTGGATCGACGAATAGTGGAACCGGTTCTTTTCAGCTGACTAGCGCATTTTTGTTCTTCAACTTTCGTGGATTTCTTTGAAAGGGTGTTTTTCTTTTCTTTCGTCTCCTACAAATGCAAAACAAACATATATTTGAAAAATGAATTCTAAGATAACTAGATGGCATTAAATGGACAAAACTGCAGGAAGAATCTAAGAAAATAAAAAATAAAAATAATTGAAATTTTAATATGCATCTTTCCTGTTTTAAGCTCCTATCTTCTTTTTTGCTCACAGTTTCACCTAAAGTAGGAATACTTAATAGAAACGTTGCTGATAAGTTTTCTTTAAATTTTAAATACATTCTTCAATACTATGCTATTATTACTTGTTTTATAATTGTTTATGCTAGTCTCCAATATGTTATTGTAAAAGTACTATTGTATTCTTTTTTGTATTATTTATTCATAATGTACTTCTGTATTTTGTATTCATTCCGCCTTGTAAATGTGTGCTTTAAAAAAGTAATTTTGTATTCTGTGATTGTATTTTAAATTCCTCTGGATGCACTTGAGTGGTTTGAGGTCTGGGGTGTTGGCTCTCAATTGGGTTTCAACAGAGTTCTCAAAATCCACCTTTTTATCTTAGCATTCATTAGACATATACTTCGCTGCAGTAAACACCCATTGTCCA